ACAGTTGTAGGATCATTCTTTTTCGGGATCAAAACAATATTGGTGGCATTTAAATCATTTGGAATTTCACCCGTATTCAAACAATTAACAACAAAAGCTGACACATCCTCTCCAACTACATCCCAAAACCGCTGGTAAAAACCCGGATTCATTCCATCCGGTCCCGGTGCCTTGTCAGGGTACATGGCAAATAAAGCAGTTTTGACCTCAGCCATATCATAGGGCCTCAATAATACTTCATTCTGGTCAGTCGTCACACGGGGGCCAAACTCATCAAATAATGGGTCCTCACACACAGGATTACTAGTAGCAAAAATTGTATTGAAATAGTTGAGAACAACATTATTCATATCCTGTCCCTCCACCCATACCCCATATTCATTCAACAGCTTAGAAACAAGATTCTTTTTCTTTCTAGCAGAAGCATACATGTGATAATACTTTGTGTTCGCATCAGCGCCACGAAGCCAATGCTGCTTCGCTCTCTGCCTCCAAAACACATCTTCCTGGGCTTCTAACTGAGAGATCTGATTGTTTAAAAGCTGGAACTCTGCCAAAGATGCTGGATCCCTCCTACCACGGATCCGCACTTGCTCCTTGCGTAGCTGCCGGATTCGCTCACCAAACTTATGGAAATGGTCACCACCCCAGCGCATCAATCTATCCCCACATTGTTGCTGACAATTCAACAACCCCTCTGCCCTCCCCCCTGCCAGGCAGTCTCCACCACCTCCCTACGCCCCTCATCTAGCAGCCATGCCATCTCAAACCTGAAGCTCCTCGGGACCCTTTCTCTCCCCCTTCTATGTGCATTAATATCAAGGAACAAAGCTGAATGGTCCGATTTACGAGTAATTATATTCTCTACACCGGCCCTTCCATGCGCATCACACCACTCCATCGTTGCCAACACCTTATCCAATCTCTCCTCCAACCACTGATCCGTTCCACTGGATTTCTCCCAAGTAAACTGGTATCCCCTCATAGGCAGCTGACGTAGTCCACACTCATCCACAGCTTCGCTAAAACCCCGGATAAAGTTCTCTGGATGTGGATGGTTTCCCCTTTTCTCATGCTGGAATAAGAGATTATTGAAATCCCCTATTACAACCCACGGAAGCGGAGACCTCCCCGCCAATGACTTCAGCAATTCCCATGATTCTCGCCTTTGACTACTCTTAGGGAAGCCGTAAAAACATGTCATACGCCACACCTCCCCTGATGGCATACGCACCTCAATATCCACATGGTTTTTAGAATAGCTCAGGAGTGTAGCCGTATTATTCTTTCTCCACAACAAAGCCAGGCCCCCACTATTCCTCACATTATCCACATAAAAAAGACCCTCAAAACCTATCCTCACACGGAGCCTTTCCGCATGGTCCTGTTCCACCATTGTCTCCATTAGAAATACAAAGTCAGGCTTCTTACTGGACACAAGGCCCACAATCTCTCGAACTGTACATGGATTGCCCAAGCCACGACAGTTAGCTTATCAGTTAATTTGAGCTTATTTAATTACTATTAGCTATTTGACTTGATTAAAAAATTAATATAAGTGTTTGATTAATTAACTATTTGTAACTCTAAAATGCTAATGATAAGTTATATACCTCGGGTCCGTGCCATCGCTTACAGCCGGGTTGAGATCTCGCAGTTCGGGTCTTGGCCTACGGGTCGGGGTCAAAGGTGACGGGTCAAACCCGCCACCTCGGTTGGCCCTATTTAAAGGCCTTTTGGTCCTTGGGCTTGGGGAGGCCATTTGGCCATCTCTCGGCCCTCTCCCTTCTCTCTATAATATAGAGAAACATACAAATATTCATATGAATAAAAAGACCACTTTCATCTATTTCTTGGGTTCTTCCTTCTTGTTCTTCTATATTCTTTTACATATATATACATCTAGTACATACGCCTTGTATACGGTGGAATTAGTACTATCAACTAAAATTCAAAAAGCTGCTCAAAATAATTTTTTCAATTAATTTTTTGAGAAAGTCATTTTGTACGAAATTAGCTAACAACTAATTTACCAAACAGTTTTATACAATCAGCTAATGTTACCTATTAGTCAAACTCACTAACTCAATCAGCTAACACTCATTTACCAAAGACCCTCAATATTTATTTCAACCAGTAATATTTAATAAACTTGAAAATCAAAATAATTTTGAAATTTTAGATACACTCATGTGTTTGTCAATCTCAACGATTAATTAATTATTGAATACAAAATAATATAAATAAAAAATGACTAAGGTAGGTGTTCTTCAATAATTTAAAAAATTAAAAGGTGATGTAGTAAATATGAAAATTCCAACAAATTCGTAAGGTATGGGTCCGAAGATCCTGCTTGTTGGTTAAAGCTTTTGGGCTCAGAATACGTGAGTGGGTCAGAGGTTTCCGAGCTAAATGTTAGTATATAGAAAGTGTCAAAAGTCCCACTTTCTTGCATTTAATGCGGTATTTATAGGAGTCCTGAGAAGCACATGCCGGTCTCTTGGCATGTATGGCATGTGGAACGTGGCCTGGTACGTGGCACAGGACAAGGTCGGAAGCCTGACTGTTCTCTCCATTCTTCCCAAACTGTACTCATATGACAACTAAGCTGCCCATGCAGGCCTCTCTCCATGTGTTTAGAGATTCTTGACTCCACCGAACCCACCGCTACTGAATTGAGTTGAGAGGACTTTGCTTAGGTTTCTAAGTATCACATCATTCACATCTTGAATGTTTGTCCTGACCTACCAAGCCAGTGAGAATTACGCTCGGTCGGGGATTTAGATCGTGCAAGAGCGCTGCAAAGTCGATCATGCTCGAGTCCGATTCTGCCCAGTAAGTGAGCTCGACACTCACTAAGCATATGCTACGACGTTAGAAATAATTCTTATCAAAAGACATTATTAATATTAACATAATTTGTTAGTGATCGGTTAAAACTATTACTTTACTCGTAATTAAACAAAAAAAATTTATATATAATAATAATTAATGAACTAATTGTGGATAATTAATTATCTCCTGGAATAACTAACGGTTTGCGGTTGGATACATCTATTAAGCAATCAAACTGTTTGACAGTTGGATACATTTTTTTTTTTTTGTAGAAACAGTTGGATACATCTATTAAGCAATCAAACTTCTCTTATTTTCACCGGAGTAGTAAACACTGGAAAGTGCTAGAGAAATGGGGAAATGGCAAACAGCGTCGGCCTGGCCGACAGCGGCGGCGGTGCTAACATGCACCCTACTGGTTGTTATGCTGCCGGAAGTCTTGTCAACTCGTTTTACCGTCGGAGCTAACATGGGTTGGTCTCCTAATGTGAACTACACCGTTTGGGCACGCGGCAAGTACTTCTACCTCGGCGACTGGCTTTGTATGCTTTCTTCCTCCCTCCTTCGATCTCTCCTTTCCTGTACATTTCTCGTGATTAGAATACTCCGTAGTGTACATCGTTATCAGTAGAATACCCGACGGATAAAACGGAGAGTGATTTTAGTTACTTGATACTATAGAGCAGTAGTGCGATCAACAATGATGGAGCTCAAGGTGTTTGATTGTTTGCGCCAATTAAGGAAAATTATGAAAGTAAATTAGCAACTAATAATGATGTATGTTTCCTCTTCGACTAATTAGCCCTAAGGGGCCGTTTGGTTCACGGAATGTTAGATTACTTTAGGGAATGTTATATTGCTGGGAATGTTAGATTACTAGGAATGTTAGTTTCCTGTGTTTGGTTAAAAACTTAAAATTGAGGTATGTAATATAATCATGTTTGGTTTAGGGTTATCTTTTATTTATTTAATAATAATAATAATATTATAATAATAAGCTAACATAAAATATATAAATAATTAGAATTAAAATGACAAAATTCATAAATATGCAAGGTTATCTTACATTACCTAACAAAATGAAGGGAATCACATTCCCTTCAAAATCCTATGTGGAGGGAATGTTGCATTCCCTGGGAATGTTATATTCCCTCAGAGAAAATGAACCAAACATAGGAATGTAAGCTCGGGAATGTCACATTCCCTTGGTTATATAATATAACCTGAACCAAACGCCCCCTAAAGGTCTTCTGTATTATCATTGCCTTTATGTACCTTCAACTGGCTTCTTTGAACAGTTTTTATTACAAAAATTTAACATTATCAGTCATCTAATATTCTCTAAAGTAATTCAACATTTGATGAGTCAAACAGCCCTTAGAGCATCCACATTGGTTGGGGATAATTGGGGGATAATGTAAGAGTGATTAGGAAAGAGAATGTGAGAGGGTAGAGAAAAAAAAAGAAAAAATAAAACAAAAAAAAAATAAAAAAAAAAAAAATTAAAGTTATCAGACGCGTCAGGCGCGGCGACTGGCGCGCCTGACGCGCCACCGGGCGCGTGCAGTGCACGCGCCCGGCCTTCCTCTTGGACTGCGCGATACGCGCAGTCCGTGCGTTAGATGCTTGCTTCACTTTTTTTTTTTTTTTTTTTTTCCTGCCATTCTCCCTTCATTTGCAGGAGAACTATTTTGCTATTCTTTCCTCTCCACATCAATTATTCTTTTCAACATGAGAGAATTAATCTTACATTATCCCCATATTATTCATTGGTGTGGTTGCTCTTAGTTTATTTATCTATGATCATATATTATATATTTACATTTAATATGTTCAAAATACACATAATAAGTTAGCTGCAAATATCTGAATCAGAATTTATAGTACACATACTATACCCTGTCCACATTATAACTATCGCATAACCAATTGTTATATTGTGCACCAGAGCGCACAATATAAAAATTCATTATTTCGTATGTATATAATTGTATAGTAAAATACACATAAATTTTTAATATAATACACACAACCTAACATAATACATAATACACATAGTGCACCATATAATTTGCCTCTTTAACTCTTCTTTTCTCAAATATTTATAACCACTTTTGGATAAAAAAGCCCATGAAGCCCAATTGAAATTTTCCCAAAACTGAAACTTGGGCCCAAAGAAGCTCAGCTGAACAGTGTTTTGGGATAAGATATTCCTGCAAAGTGTGCTTCGCCGGGAGGAAGCAGACTCCATTCCCTCCATGGCGGCAACGGCTATCTCTTCAATGCTAGTTCCTCCAATTCCGCTCAATTCACCCCTTATTCCCTTCAAACCTCGAACTCCCTCTCTGCATTTCCAAAACGGCAAGCTATTCATTCGTGAAATTTCCCCGTCCCGAGGTCGGGTCACTGCGAAGCCGCCGTCGTGCTCCGCCTCCGGCGCCACCGCAGTTGAAGAATCGTTAGGCATCGACGCTCTCCAGCGCTTCATCGATCTTAATAAGGGCAACTGGACCGGTTCTTTCCATGTTAGCATGATTTTCTCGACGCATTTCGCTTCCATTGTAACTAGTAGCAATATGATTCTTATGTCGTTTTTTAAATACTTTCCGTTGATTTTTGCAGCAATTTGATAGTCACGGGAACTTGCTGCACAGTATTAGTACGAAGCTTGCAGTGGGATCTTACGGTGAAGATGAACTCATCAGCTTAATTCAAACGTATGCGAGCTTTCTTCTTAGACTCTTTCAGTTTCATATCGTTAATTATTTATGGTGCTGGTTTATTTTTTGTGTATATCCTATTATTGTTATAGGAAGATATAATTGTTTATAATCGTTAAATACTAAAGATATTCTTAAGCTGGAAGCTAAGTACTGCCAAATGGTTTGGTTGTTGTGGTTTCTCAGGCTAAGAGTCGAGATAACATCTGCCAATTCTTGCATAGGCTGCCTTTTTCTGAACTCTTGAACTGAAGAAACAGTATACTAATTTGCAAGTCCACATGCTAGACACACCAAAGCAAATCTGAATGCATAATGAATAACACAAGGGTTATTTGTTGTTCAGGGATTAATTGATTTTGTTAATGGATTTTTTTTTAAAAAAAAACAAAACAAAAAAAAAAAAAACTGATAATGCATTCAAATTCAATGTGCCTGCTGTTCAAACTTTGGTTTTTTGAAGAAGGCGGCATCTCCATTTGCACTTCAGTATTTTGTATTGCTCTTAACATTTTTTTAAGAGGGGGAAGTTAGAAAATGCCTGTCTAACTTTATAGAAAAATGGGGTAACCAAGGCTCCTACATGCCTTTCTAACCTACTATGCACCATTGCACAAGGAGCCAATAATCACCTAACCTTGGACATTATATTTTGCTTTAGCTCAGTATGTCAAGTACTTACAGGTTTTAAATTTTAGGTTATATATCAGACAACCTCAATCCACCACTTCATTCTCAGGAGAAGATTATGAAACAGAGTGGTATGAGTACAAAATTAAAGAAACAAACCTGTTTACTGTGGATAAATATCAGCAGGTAAGGGCACTTGTACAAAAAGCTGGACATTCTCTTGTTGCTCATCCTTTGTAGAAATATTGAACATTTACTTCTCATTTTCATTTTATTTACCCTTGGAAGTAGTTTTCAGATAGGCTTTTTCCCAAAGGAGAAGGCATTTGCATTGAGGTATCAAACGGCTGGCATGTTAGAAACAGCATTAAGACAAGGAGTGTTGGGTGAAGATGATGTTGAGGAAGAGTCACCTAGGTAGGTCCTCTTCTCTTGCCAATAAGGCAACGAGCTTTAAAATGTATTGATGTTATATATAGTATATATGGCCTGCTATCTTTGATCACTTTACTCTAATTTTGTTTGTTTTGTTTTTGTTTCTTAATTCTTCTCCTCAGAAACCTAAAGATTCCTTCCAAAAAACCTTCTATTGTATGTGAAAGTTGTCTTTATTCAGTAGAGAAGGACATGCGTGTAAGAGCATTTCATATCATGGACCCAAAAGGTATCCCAGAAATGCTTCTAGTTTTCCTCGAAGAAAGAGGTGGTAGAGACCTTACCCATCCTACCTTTGACAAATCTAAGGTACTTTACATCAATGTGGAAACTTCCCCATCTTCTCATTCATTCAACTGCTATAATTTTACATGCAGTTTTTGTGCTTAAGAAACAACTTTGCTGATATCTTTTTCCCCAATAGGATGAAGTAAACAGGATTTCCCCACATCTTGGTAAATGGAATGGTTACTCTATCACTAAGCGTACTGGTGTTTATGGAGCAACAGTAGAGGAAGCAGATACAATTGCTTTATTTGAAATGAACAAGGATGGTCAACTAATCCAGGTTTGTTAACTTGCAGAAAGTTCTTTTTGAGGAATAAGTCTATACTCCAGACTGATAAGCACCTATTTTTTGTCACATCTTTTGGACTGCCATTGCTCAAATATGCTTTGTATTCACTTTATAAGAGCAACCTCAATAGTTCGAGGTTTTTGGAGAGTTTTTTATTTCATGTGGATATTGAAGCTTCAAAACAGGAAAAAGAATTTTAAAAAACAAAAAAGTCACAGTAAAACCCAAGTTGACCTGGTGTGACTTTTTTCTTCTTTTTTTTTGTCCTCCTTTCCTGACACAAACCCAAGCTATTGCAGTAAAACCCAATTCTTCTCTCCTCCCTCCTCTCTCTTCCAAATCAGCAAAAATTTCAGGAGAACTGTGAAAAAACTGCCATTGGGATTGCTCTAAAGTGTGCTTCATTCACTTTATGGCCCAGGAAATAGCATTATGTGGAGGTGCAGATCTCTTAGGACTCTCTTATTGAATCATCATTATCTTAATGAAAGTAGATGTAGGCATTATTTTTTATTTCCTGCCTTGTCATGCACTCTGTCAATCAATACTATGGAGGCTAATACTTTGTTCTAAAAGGCTCTTGATGTGACACCTGTTTGGTGATTAACAATTTTTATATCATATCTCAAGAAAGAAGTTGTGATATTTGATGCTGATTTCCTTTTATTGCCTTCTCGTATGCAGGATATTACTTCCACATCTTCTACAAAGAATGTTACCACTAATCTACGTTGGACTGGTACCATTTCTGGCAACTTGGTCTCATTTGATGATGGTGCTTTCCAGTTTATATTATTACCAGGTGGCATGTACATGGGATGCCCAACTGATCTCGCAAAAAGTGTGCATGAATCCAAGTCATTTCATCTGGAGTTCTGTTGGCTCGAATCACCTGACAAGAGACAGAGACTGGTCCGCACTTTCGACATGGAAGGCTTGGCCGTATCGTCAACATATTTCTTTGAGACAAAACTTTAAGTATTATTTTCTACACTTCCATGGCTTCAATATTCTGATTCATAAAAGGTTGTATTACTACCACTATTGCCTTGTGCAAATTCTTGACTTGCCCAATTGATCCGTGTAATCTTAACACTGAAAGTATCATAAGAATGAAAACCTCAAAAATAGTCATTGTATATCTGTTATCTGTTATGAATGTTTAAGTCCAATTGGAATGTATATCTGTTATCTGTTATGGCTGTACATAGTTGAATGTTGAAGTTCAATTTTGTTTTCTTTTCTCATCTTTGATAGAGACCATATTATTTCGTTATGATTGTATGGCGAGATTTCTTCCCTTCTCATCTTTGATAGAGACCAGTCCTGCCATGTTGTTTCTTGTAACTATTTCTTTGGATTACATTATATTAATCGCAATGTTTTGTCCTATGAGCCCCAGGTTTTGCTGAACTGGTTTTCGCATGAAAAGCTGATTTTGAGCTGGGGAGCCAGACGACAAAATTGTCGACAGTTTATCTTCTGGCCTTAATTACATGATGGGGCAGTAGGTGACTGCGCATATGGAGGTAAGCATGAATTCATTTATAGTCAACTTGTTGATATGTACTATTCTTGAACTAGTTGCAACTTGCATGTTTGGTTTAACACTTTTAAGTCGGTTGTCAATTGTCATAAAGTCTCAATTCTCTGCATCGGTGATGTAAAACGGGTGTAGGGTAGGTATAAGCTCACAAGTTGCACCCTAACCAACAACTTTTGCCTTTTTGTTGTAATGTAGTCTGTCCAGTGAGAGTAGTTAGCGTAGTCCATTTGACACCACTAACACTGTCATCGGCAAATTATTGGGTGGACAATAGTCCACATAGTGTTACGTGGACCATAATAAAATGTACATTTTTAATATATTAAATGTATATTATTTTTGTATTGTATATACATTATACAATATAATGTACACTCAGTACAAAAATAATGTACATTTCCTTAATACAATGTATATTATTTTTGTACTGAATGTATATTATTTTATTTTACTATATACAAATATGGTCCATACAACTTATATGGACCATGGTCCACATAATAATGATTGCACTATCATCTTAGTAGTCAGAATTTGGCACCAAAAAATTAGCTATATGTATATTAGATTATCTTTATTCCTGTAAATCTCTTTTATTTTTTAAAATGGATCTCACTTTCACATCACTCAATTTGTAAATTATTTAATATTCACACTACATCCTTGCAAAGTGGGCCTCAATATATAAAAATAACATTATTAATTTATATCAATTACATTTAAATATATATATATATATATATATATATATATATATATATATATATATATATATATGTGTGTGTGTGTGTGTGTGTGTGTGTGTGGGGCAAAATGTCACATCATCTTATCAATTGCAAATTCGTTGGGATAATCCCAACCTTACTATAACTTCACTCCTATCAAGTTTAAAAGAAGCTCAAATTTTGTCATGACAAGCAATCATTAGAGCATTCGCAATAGGGGAATTTTGAATGGTTTTTGCAGGTTGGGTTGTTTATATGGAGGAGAGATGAGAGGAAAGAGGAGATGTTAGGTGCTTGTAAAAGTGACCCCACTCAAAAAAGTAACCCAATCCTCTTGTGTGCGTGAAGCACACCAAAAGCGCACAGTCGGGCTCGTACAGTACACGTGCTCGCTAGGCGCGTTAAATTGTTTTTGTTTTTGTTTTTTTTTTTTCTTTTCATTTTCCTCTCATCTTCTCTTTCCTAGTCACACTGCAAAAATTCTTCAAAAACTATACCTATTGAGGATGGTCTTTTTTATTTATTTTTTTAAAATACTATTAACTCTATTACAAGGTAGTATCTGTTCTATACTTTTTCTAACTGTTGAAGACCAAAGAGTTAATACCCCACCACTAAAGTTTGATCGTATTATCTTCCCTCAAGGGGGGTCACAGATGTGCCATCTGAGCACAATGTGTTTGGCCTATTGAGGATGTTCTTAGTTGTTAAGGAATTGATTTTTTTTCCTTCTTTTCTTTTAAATTTTTACCGTTTAGGTGGGACGTGTTGGCAGGAGCCTCCGTTGTTCATTGGATTGGAAATTGGTAAACTTTAAATTAGTCGAAATTTAATATAACTATTAAAGAATTAAAGGTTTATGATTGAGTATCAAAATTTGGTGTAAAAACATGTCAGTCAACCTGACATTGAGATTGCTAGTTGTTGCTTTGGAGGAACCAAAGCATTTTTTTAAGGAAAAAGAGAATAAGTGGATTCTTATGGAGTAAAATTCTGTATTTGTTTTGATGTTATTGGAGGAAGAAGAAAAGAATAATTAAAAATTTTTAGTTCACTTTGTAATTTTTTTTATCAATAAAAGTTATAAAACGGATTACGGTAGTGATTGTAATTTTTCTTTGATTAGGTAAATGAAAAGTGTGAGGGGATAGATAATATTACACTTATAGGAAGGTTGGAATTATTAATTTATGGTCTACTTTAATCAAGGTGGTATAATTTGTTGAGGGCACGAGGTCAGCCACCCCAGTGCCCCACCACCCTACGCCCCTACCCCCTCCCGGAGTTCCGCCAATCTTTACCTTTTTGCAACTTGACATTTGGCACGGAGTGAAAACTTGTGGACAACTTGCTGTTCCTGTTCTTCTCAGTCTCACTGTATTGCCAGTTTCTTCGCCCTACGGGCAACTGCAATAAATCAATGATTATCTCCTATGTCAGATAAGGAAATAATAATAATAATAATAATAATAATAATAATAATAATAATTATTATTATTATTATTATTATTATTATTATTATTAGGAAAAATTAATCAACTTTAAAGTCTTAACCCGGTTGAAATTTGAACCGACAAAGTTGTTACCTTTCGTCATAGCTTGCGCATTTAAATGACAGTACGCGAATGTCCATCCTACGTAGTACACTAGTACGCACACATTATATTCATTATTTTAATATTTATTAATTTTTGAATTGAATGTTAAATATTTTAATTTTCTACTTTAGTCTCTTGCCTTGTCACTTTCAGATTCGGTCTTTAATTATTATACGGAGTGCTTCTGTAACATTCCATTTTTTTCAACCACATTTGATTGTTTGAACCAAATTTTTAAAAGAAAAAATAATCAGAATATATCACATTTCTACTTTACAAAATTTATTTGTAAAAGCGTAAAAATATTTGCGTTGATATAATTCTAAATTAGAAATGTGGTTTTAGAATGAGTGGCCTAGTGACATCGTCACGAGTTCGATTCTTGATAACACTTTCTCAGTCGAACACGATGCATAAGGATTTTCTTGGTGCGATTTATTTCTCTTGTATAATTTGTAAGATATTACATAAAATATAATTTATCCATGTTTTGAATAGATAATGCAGTTTTCTACGTCATTCAAAAAATAAATTAGAAATGTGTGTGATCTATTTTATCTATTATAAAATTTTATTGAAATGGCTAAATCTGATCCAAAAATGTTCATCCTAATTGCTATGTGCACATTGTTGCCAAGTTGTTGCCTTTTGTCATATCTTGCGTAGCTAGATAACAATACATATGCATATTCACATCTTATGAGATTTATTCAGCAAATATTCTCGAATAATGGTTATAATTTTTTTTTCTCACCCAAAAATATATATTATTTTAATATTTATTAATTAATTTTTAATTGAATATTAAAATTTATAATTATTTTTCATGTTCAATCTCTAAATATTATTTTTATCTCATTAATTAATACGCACAACTTTTTTTTTTTTTTTGTTATAAATAAAAAGTATTTAAAAATCAATATTGTAATAACACACATGATCATTTGAATTGAATGACAAGAACCTACAGGCTACATCGGTGGTTGTCCCCACCAGCCAAGTAGCCAACCCCAAATAGCATCCACTATGGAAACTTTTTCCAAGATATTTTAGAATGAACTCATCCAAAATAAGGAGTAAAATTAATGTGGGAAGGAGATAATAAAAAAAAAGAATTCTTCTGCAAATTAGAAAATAATGTCAGAACTAAAAGAAAAAACAAAACGCTGTGCGGCGCATAGCTTGGCCAAAAGCCTGGCGCGTGCGCGCCAGTCGGCGCCTGACTTCCTTTATTATTATTATTATTATTATTATTTTTTTGTATTTTTTTTAATTCAATTTTTTTTCTCTCCCCTCCCACCTTCACTTTCTTAATACTCTTAAAGAATCCATTCCAGAATGCTCTAAAGGTTTTTGTACCTTAAAGAATCCATTCCAGAGGCCTAATTAAGTAATTATCCACTTGCTTTATACAATTTTTCAATACAAACATTAAAGACCTTTTTCATTTTTTAAAAACCTCTATAATTGTACTAATTTGTATAACATGTCTTACAATGATCATATTTGGTAAAATAATTAGCCTATCATTTAATTTTGACTTATTTAATCACTATTAAATGTTTGACTTGGTTAAAAAAATTAATGCAAGTGTTTGGTTAATTAGTTTTTTGTAACTCCAAAATACTAAAATTCAAAAAGTTGCTCAAAGCAACTTTTTCAATTAGCTTTTTGAGAAAAGAAATTATACTAAATAGTTATCAGTTAACAACTAATTTACCAAACACCTTTCTACAATCAGCTAATGTTATTAACTAGTTATACCCTCTAACCTAATCAGCTAACAACTATCAGCTACCAGTCATTTACCAAACAGGGCTTATTCCTTTTTTTCTAATTTAAACACTGATAATTTTTTTAATTATCCTTTTAAGTTTTCATATGATGTCTCATTTTTTTAAAGTAAAAAAGGATGAAGGGTAAATTAACAACTTGAAACAATTAGTAAGCGGACGACTAATGTAAATGTAAGGTCAAATGATCAACTCTTGTAGTGATCCTTACATATGAGTCAAACAATACAAATATGTCTCAACTTGAATTCAAACTATTTTTACAGTAGAATGTTGGTGGAAATACCAAATGCCGTATACCAAACCAAAAAAAAAAAAAAAAAAAAAAAAGGGTAAATTTTGAAAAAGGAAAAAAAAAAAAAAAAAAAAAAAAAAACTCATTTGTTTGGTTAAAAAGTTGACAACCATCGCAAAAACAAATACTCAGTAATATTTTTATTTTAGGATGGGGTGAGTAATAATTATGAAAAAAGATATTACAAATTACCACTTTAAGCATGTAATTATTCAATTATCAATCGTTATACCGTGCACCACGGCGCGCGCAGCACTGTGCGTCCCGCGCCTCCCAAAACGACGTCATTTTGGGAGGCGCGGAAGGGAGTCGACATGATTATGTGTATTTGTTTATATCATTATGTGTATTTGTTCATTCAATTATGTGTATTTTTTATACAGTTATGTGTGTTTGTTTATACAATTATGTGTATTTGTTTATACAATTATGTGTGTTTTTTTATACAGTTATGTAAAACGACGTCGTTTTGCATCAGGGCGCACAATGCAATGCGCGCCCTGGTACACAATATAAATTGCCTTCAATTATTGTTCATGCGTTAATTTTTTATTTTTATTTGACAGAAGTGTCAAATAGGTCCATCTACTACTGCGAAGTGCTTAATTCTCACCACGAATTAAATTAAAGTCTAATCAGCCACACTTACCAGCTAACTTTGTTCGATTGACTTTTTTTGTAGGTTGCTAACCGGTTGCCTAGTTAATTATTAAAATAAAATAAAATAAAATAAAATAAAATAAAAAGGAATTTCAGCCACCGGCTGATATGGACCTCATGTTTGACAGCCGTGGCTGTCCGGCTATCCTCGTCAGACAGCCACGGTTGCCTGTGAAATACGCGGCCACCGGCTGTCCTCGCTGGACAGCGGGTGGCTGAAATTCCTTTATTTCTATTTTTTATTATTTTTTTTTTTAAAATAATTGAATAGGCAACCGGTTAGCAACCTGCAAAAAAAAATAATAAAAAAAAATTAATCAAACAAATTTAGCTGGTAAGTGTGACTAATTAGACTTTAATTTAATTCGTGGTGGAATTTGAACACTTCGCAATAGTAAATGAGCATATTTAACACTTCTGTCTTTTTATTTTGAATTAAAGGGTGGACAACGTCCGTTTCGGTCTTCCAATATGGCATTCAAACAATAAACGGAGGTTTCCATTCAACCCACTTGACGTTAATTTATGTGTTCCTGATATAAACTTTCAATTTACTTTTTTTAATAGTTCACTTTACATATTACTTACAAATATTAAAATTTAATATTCTGTAATATTAAAAATAATTATAAAAATAGAGAGAATTCTTCTTGAAAACCACTATATTTTATTTTATTGCAACATCTTTCTCCATCTAAATCTAAACTAAAATATTACGTCCTCAAAGTTTGAACGTAAACAAGTGTTGTTATCTAAGACCAAATTTGAACGACGACACAATTGTCTGTCCCAGAGACGAATACGTTTCACGTTTGGCAAGTTGAAGACCTGTCTGTTTCTACCAATTTATTTTATTATATTTTTTGTTGCCTTTTTTTTTTCTTTTTTTTTTTTTTTTAATTTCTTTTATATTTCTATTGCATGGTGGCAAGTGGCAAGTGGCAAGTGGCAAGTGGCAACTAAATAAGTAAGTCACAGCATCAATAGTGATAAAATAATTATGAGTTAAGGACAATGCCAACCAAATAGATTGAATTATTAATTTTAATAATTATAATATTTTAACTTTTGACTTTTAATAAAAGCGATTTATTTGAGTTACTTAGTTATGGCAAGCTAAGTTGATCTACTTCATTCTAGTTTTTTATCGACTATTGTCGTAAGGGATTTTGTATGATTTTGTAGACTATTATACATGAGTGAGATTTACCATAAACACCTTCGAGTAGTGGGTATTGCACACGAAGAACAACCATTAGTCGCCCCTCGCCTACCATATGGAGATTAGTAGTCTCATATAGTTTTATTTTTCTTTTTTACTTTTTGAACTTTTAATTTTTTTTAAAAAAGTTATACCAAGTCACTACTACATTAGATATCAAATAATTACCACATCAGAATTGTAGTATACATGAAAGCCTAATCAACGCCATTCAATAGTAACATACTAAATAGATAAAATTATGCCCCAACTAAATTTTTTACCGATTTAAAGAGTCCCAGTGAAATTATATTTACTTAGAAATCACATTATTCAATTTGGTATTTGCTTAGAGCATCCATACTATAAGATATTATTGGATTTTTTAGTACAGTAAATGATGGCATGGGGAGAGAGAAAGCAAGAGAGAGAATAAAATGGAAGTTTACGCAAAAATAACATTTTGGAACAGTAAAATCATCAGAGAAAGCAACCAAAGTTGGTGTGCATTTGGGCATAGCAAAGCTACGCCGGGCACGCTTGTTAGTTTGTTTATATATATATATATATATATATATATATATATATATATATATATATATTATTTATTTATTTTTTTAAATCAGTTTTTTTTTCACTCTTTTTTCTCTCATATTTTCTTTTATAATTTCACTTACAAAAACTTTTCAAAAAATACTCTATTATTATGGATGATCGAGAGAGCTCATAAAAAAAAAAAATTAATTTGGACACGTGATGGAGGGTATAAACTATAAAGCATATAATATATTAGTATTCCCTTTCAGATTATATTTTAAAGATTGATATTTATACAGGTTGGAATCGTATTTTAGGTGCAAATCTTGATACAAAAACAATATTATAAGCAAGATCAATAGATGACAATAACATCACATAAGAAAAATGCAAGTGTGAAGTGAAGTCGACAAGTGGGTGTGGGTGTATACGGTACCAGCACTCCATGGGAGGGTACTCCATTAATGAACTGAAGTTTCTATAAGAGAAGAAGAAGAAGAAGTAGGAGGATAGGATAGGATCATTAGTAGCAGAAACTCCGAAGAAGAAGAAAGAGTTTTATGTTTCTGGAATGAGCGAAATCAGAGAGAGAGGTTCAACCATTGCTGGGCCTTCGCGCCCTACTACGCTTGCAATTGCACCCCGGCCGCCATTGGAGAGCTTCTTCAACGATGGGTTCATACCCGGTTTCAGCCCGGGTCCTATGACCCTTGTGTCCAGCTTCTTCGCCGACTCCGATGCCTGCTCTTTCTCCCAGCTGCTGGCCGGAGCCATGGCTTCCCCGCTCGCGAAACCCTGTCTTTTGGAGGATAGCTCATCGAAGAAGGGGAGTGAGAAACAATCCGGGTATAAGCAGAATCGGCCGGTGAGCTTGGCGGCGGCTGCTCTTTCGCCGTTGTTAGTTGTCCCGCCGGGGTTAAGTCCTTCCGGGTTGCTCAATTCACCTGGGTTCCTCTCTCCGATTCAGGTAATTCGCTCAATTGCTCAATTTCATTGATTATTACGATGGCTTCTCTATTTTTATGTTCTTAGCTTTTGTTTTTTGTTTTTTCCCCCTTCTTTGGGTTTCAATTCCTCACTCAAAGATTTTTTTTTTTTTTTTTTTTTTTTTTTTTTTTTTTTTTTTGTTTTCTTCTTCCCTGAATTTTATGCTGCCATAGATTACTGCTAGAATTCCTCTTTTCATGGCATGCTTTGTTCTTGCTAATGTAAGGCTATGTTAAAGATTCTTGATTTATCTGTTAAAATGTGCATACAAAATGCTTGCTGTAATGGCAAGCCCAGCCAAGTTGGTCAGTTTGACCTGTAATCACAAGGTTACAAGTTCGACTGGCATGTTGTCTTGGTCTTGGTTTGAGTTATTCAGCTATGGACAATGCTAATTTACCTCCTTGCCCTTGTGCTCTTTTGCTCCTTTACTGGTATACACCCTCGGACAGTAACTGTGGGTTTCTCTCGGTCACTCAAGAAAAATCAAGAAAAATGCAGGCTGTAAGCAAGTGTTCTTCATTTGCTATGTAAATTTTGGGAATGAGATTTCCAGATACTTATTGAAGCTATGCTACATGTGAACATGTCCGATGATTGGTTTGTCAATGGATTTACTTTCAGTAGCATAAATGTATTGACTGTTCCTTGCATTTCATGCAGAGCCCTTTTGGGATGTCTCACCAACAAGCACTGGCGCATGTTACAGCTCAGGCAGCGATAAACCAGTCTTACAGGCAAATGCAAACCGAATATCAGCAACAATCCTCACCTGGAGATGCGTTTGAGCATGATTTGATGCCAAATGATTCGTTCCAACTTCAAGTTTATGACATGTTGGACCCGGAGAGTTTGAAGAGTGAGCCAGTAGAGGTCTCGCAATCGCTGAGAAAACCTGCTCCCGGTGCCCTGGAGAGGCCTGCTAGAGATGGTTATAACTGGAGGAAATATGGACAGAAGGTGGTTAAGGGAAGTGACTGTCCGCGAAGTTACTATAGATGCACGCACCTCAAATGTCCTGTCAAAAAGAAAGTTGAACGATCCGTTGGTGGGCACATAACTGAGATCACATATAAAGGGCAGCACAACCACGAACTTCCTAACCCGAACAAAAGAAGGAAAGATGAGTGTGATCTGGACGGTGGAGAGAACATCCAAGTGAATTCTGAAATTGCTTCTCATAGTTGGACTGAAATGAACACATCAAACGAGGCTGAGTTTTCTGAGTCTGCCCAGTTTTCCACCAAATTGCCATCTGAACAAGTCGATGTGGGGTGTGACCTTGATGATATGGAGGAGACTGCAATGGCATTAGATGAGGATGATGTACAGAATCCTAAGAAAAGGTAAACCTTTGGAACTGTTTCATTCATTTGTTGGTTTTGCAGTACGAAATAACACCAAGATATTGAGCTTAGAAGTTAGAACGAGAACAATTATTATTTGTATTGGTATTAAAATATGATTTAAGTTTCTTGGACTGCAGGAGCTCAGAGGTTGTGTCATCTGCTATGCCTTCATCTCTTAAAACGGTCACTGAATCCAGAATCATAGTGCAGACAAGAAGTGATGTTGACCTTTTGGATGATGGGTACAAGTGGCGAAAATATGGGCAGAAAGTAGTAAAGGGGAATGCTAATCCAAGGTATTTTTTTGGGAAGAAAGTTTCATTTGTTAAAGTACTGATTTTTATGCGTAGTTTGACAATTTGGCATAATACCTAGTAGAATACGTCATGGTTGACGTTCTTGAAGTAATAGTATTTCTAACCTACATTTCCAGATAGATCTGGAGACTACTATGAAAGTGAATTTGAGTTTAGATCTGTTACCTTGATTGTGCCACATCATGACAGTTTGGAAGTATGAAAACTTCTCTCCTATGCTTTGCATCAAGCAAGAAAATTCCTCTTCATAGTTTAAAATGGCTCTGTTTCAAAAAGGAAAAACTTTAAATCGGTTGCCAATTGTTGAACACCGTTAGAAGATTGCTATCCTACCAAACTCGAGTTATTTTGTCATCCAAGCAAACAGGGAGACAATAAATACTTCGTGGATGTGTATGAAAAAACAAAACAGCTTTCTGTGCATTTTCTTTTTCTAGATTCATATATGTTAAAAAGTAAATATTCGGGCTTGTAATGACACTGGATTGCTACTTTGTATCATTTTTCGAATACACAAATATTCGGGTTTCTTATTCTTTTTATATCTTTACAGGAATCATCTCTTACCCTTTCAACTTTATACTGCAGGAGTTATTATAGATGTACATACAGTGGATGCAGTGTTCGCAAACACGTTGAAAGGGCTTCAACAGATCCCAAAGCAGTTATAACTACGTATGAAGGCAAACACAATCACGATATCCCTAATGGGCGGAACAGCAACCGCAGCCAAACTAACGCTAACGTTCTACAACTGAAGCAGGAAAGCACGCTCGCAGTTAACAGCTGAAAGTTGATGGCGATAACCCAATTCTTCGTTTTCTTGCAAAACCTGTTTGCAGATGTCCATTGGCTCCTTTACACACAGTTTGTGTTACCTGTAAGCTTTCGCCTTCCTCTTTTGCTTGATGCTTCCCATGGTTAGTTTGCATCAGGTTGTAAGCTTGATAAATAAGTAGTAGTGCACAGTGAAGATCTGTGAGCTCTCAATCTTGTGTATTTTGTTTCATATGTGGTGGATCCAAGTGAATGTTTACTTGCAAAGTTGCAAGCTTTAATGTTGAATGTCTGTCTGGCTAAAATTTCATTGGAACTAGGATGCCTGTTTTCTTCTCCCTGGACATGTCTAACTAAAATTCTTGTGCCCTTTTGAGGGAAGAATATGTATCATTTTAATGATCTGATCAAAGTCTCATGGTCTCTGATCAATACAATCAAGAGCCACATAAGCGGGGTTTACTTAGTGCACATTCATATTGACTGCGAGTTTATCTCGTCATTCAAAAAAAAAAAAAAATACAATTAAGAGCTTTCTTGGCATTCAAAACAATACAATCAAGAGCTTTCTTGGTATTTATCTCATGGTCTTGTAAATCAATTACTTAATTTTGGAATCAAATCAGTATTGGTAGGAATTATACCCTACTCGTATATTTATACATGCGCTCAGTATTTGTACAGGGGACTGTGAGGTTCATTTCTTGAGCATAACCGACTACCTTTATGTTTCTTGGTCGGGAGAAAGGTTTTTCGGGTTAATTGAGCATGTTTTCCACCCGAAATAGTCTTCTCGACCACATTTGGTCAAGAAGATTGTTCCTGGGTACGAGACCCTATTAATAAAGAAAAGTATGATCACATCATCTTTATGCAAGTGGCATGAATCTTAAGGCACGTGAAACCACTAGGAATGCCCTCATCAAGATCGATGCACGGAGGACACGTGGTCGGCATGTTGGAAGCCTGACATGTGTTCCCTCTATATTTCTATATAAGATGCATTAAATGTTTGCAGAAGGACTTTAGACAATATATGACCTAAGCTCAGGAACGTCTGACATTACGTATAGCTACCCGAGACTATACACTATAACTTAGTACATATATATACACGTATTTGTTACATCAAGTACTTAACTCTAACATCTCGAGTCCAAAACCCAACACATATAACTATATATATTTTTTATTCTTCCTATTTCTGGAACCAAAAAAAAAAGAAAAAAAAAGAAAAAAAAAAGAGAGATTACTAGTCAAATATCGAGCATTACACAATTAAATAAATGCTCACTGGAAAAATAGTACACTTTTAAATAGATAAATACTCCATATAATGGAAATAATCAATAGAGTTTTTTTTTTTCTTTTGGTCCTTCGATCATTGTACCTCTTTCACATTTGGCTATTAATTTTTTTAATTTTTTTACATTTTGTATATTATTATCAAATTTCTGTCACATTTAATCCTTCAAATCAACAAATTTATTTGATTATCATCAACGCTAACATCAATACCATTATACTCCATTTTGTTATTGTATTGTCTAGATGTTGCGTAATTCAAATAACTTATATGAATATCATATAAGATATTACACCTAAAGTTAGCAAAAGAATTGATCGAAAATATTGAATACTGAAGAAATTTAATAGTCATGTACTAAATAATAAAGAACTAAATTTAAAAAAAAAAAAAAAAAAAAAACTCTAATTAAAAACAAATACTCCGTATATAAGTTTAAGGGGTCTGAGCGTATTTTATGAAACAGTATGCGGTTTAATTTGTAATATCAGTAACTTCAGGGGTCGATCTTTAAAAAAACATTTTCAACCATAACTATAAAAACAGATAACGAGAATTTGAATGTTGTGAAGCGCTCCTCATCCTTCGGAGAGGTTGATGATGATGTTGATGTCGTCCACTGTTCTCCGCGTATGTCGGAAATGGACGAGAGCGCGAAATCCTGATATTTGCTTTATTCTCTTGGGTCTTGGGCCATCCCACCCTTGTCCTCTCTTCCCTGTCTCTTCTGGGGATCTCTGGCGCAAGCCCAATGAGTCTCTAACGCCGGCATCCGATCCGATCCCCCAAAATCTTATCACCGGTTGATGGGTTTTGGGAGGTCAGGTCATGGGTTGCGTCAGCTCCAAACAGGCCCGCCGCGATGCCATTTCCTCTCCGAATGCCTCCGCCGCCGTTTCCGCCCGGAAGGGCGGCCAACGCCGCGCCCAGGTAGGTCCGAGTCACTCTACGGTCGGGTTGGGAGGGCTGGAGAAGATCCGAGAGGAGTCTGAGGAGGGAGAGGACGAACATTCTTCCCCTTCCCGGAAAATTTCTGAGAATCCCAAGGCCGTGAAGAAGGGGCATAATCCTGCGAAGAAGGCTGCGTTTAGTATCAAATTCGGGAGATTAACGGAATCTGAACACTTAGCTGCTGGGTGGCCTGGCTGGCTCTCTGCCGTCGCCGGAGAAGCCGTCGAGGGATGGCTTCCCCTCCGATCGGACAAGTTTCAGAGATTAGAAAAGGTACTCCAAATATCTCTCATATAATTGCATAACTGGAATCAAATCAAGAACCCATTTTTTTCTTAGGCAACCCTAGCCATGTTGGTCTGGCGATTGGCTTTGTAACCATAATGCTATTTAACATAAGCGATTTATTGGTCTTCTTGGATTAAGCCAATCAGCTATGGTGTCTCCTTGTGGTCCTTTCTTGATTTGAGACGACCTATGTGCAATCTAGGCTATCAGTCATAGCTATGGACAATCTAGATTGATTTACCTATCAGTCATAGCTATGGACAATCTAGGTTGATTTCCCTACTATGCAATCTAGGCTTTCAATTATAGCTATAGACAATCTAGGCTGATTTACCTACCGTGCAATCTAGACTGATTTACCTACCGTGCAATCTAGGCTATCAGTCATGGCTATGGACAATCTAGACTGATTTACCTAATGTGAATCTAGGATATCGGTCATAGTTATGGACAACCTAGGCTTATTTATCTCATTGTGGTCCTTTGTTTTATAGGGCCACAAAGCTGGTTTACCCTTACTTAGTGGTTGTGGGTTTTCCTCGTTGCTTTCACCTTACCTAAGAACAAAACATACTCTGATCTGATAAAGATCCATTCTTTATATTTATATGCAGATTGGACAAGGTACATACAGCAGTGTGTACAAGGCTCGTGATCTTGATAATGGCAAAATGGTTGCCCTGAAGAAGGTTCGGTTTGACAATTTCCAACCCGAAAGTGTTAGATTTATGGCACGAGAAATAACCGTCCTGCGCAGACTTGATCATCCCAATATCATGAAACTGGAGGGCATTATTACTTCTAGGTCATCCTGCAGCATATACCTTGTATTTGAGTACATGGAACATGATCTCTCTGGGCTGTTGTCTTGCTCTGAAATCAAGTTCAGTGATTCACAGGTTTGTTCATTCTTGAAATCTTTTGATGAATGGCTTTTAGTTTCTTGGCTTCAAGATTTGCGGTGTTCATCTTTCTTTTGCCCTTTCCTTTCTTGGATAGATTAAATGCTTCATGAAGCAGCTATTGTCTGGGCTGGAACACTGCCATGTAAAAGGGATAATGCATAGGGACATCAAAGTATCCAACATTTTGGTGAACAATGAAGGAATTCTGAAGATTGGAGACTTTGGTCTCGCAAATTTCGTGAGTGCAAGGAGCAAGCAACCGATGACCAGCCGAGTAGTGACCCTATGGTATCGCCCGCCTGAGCTTCTGCTGGGGGCAACAAAATATGGCGAGACGGTTGATTTGTGGAGCGCTGGTTGTGTTTTTGCAGAACTGTTTTTCGGGAGGCCTATTCTGAAAGGTAGAACCGAGGTCAGTGTGTTCCTAAAACTATCCTCGATATCTGTCTTGATTTATGTTGTTGCAGTTCTCCTAGAGATTATGTTTTTCTTGTTTGTTTGTTTGTTTGTTTGGCAGGTTGAACAATTGCATAAAATCTTTAAACTTTGTGGTTCGCCGTCTGATGACTATTGGGAACAATCTAAGCTTCCACTTGCAGCCATCTTTAAGCCCCAATATGCTTACGAGAGTACCCTCCGCGAAAGATGTAAAGAGTTGCCAAAATCTGCTGTGCACCTTATAGAAACGCTTCTCTCGATAGAGCCTTATAAGCGTGGAACAGCTTCATCTTCTCTTAATTCCGAGGTATCTCTTGCAAAACGATGTTATTTCACACCTTATTACCCCATAGATCGTTAATCGTGTGTGTTTATATTGTGTATTTAGTATTTCCATACGAAGCCCTATGCTTGTGATCCATCAAGCATGCCAAAATTCCCACCAAACAGAGAGATTGATGCAAAATTCCGCGAAGAAGCTAGGAGGTGAAGTGCTTTTAGTTTTCTAATGATAAGATCTTGTTTTGAATAAATGGTGTTTCTTGGCTACTCAAAAAGTCTCGATTTGAATGACAGAAGGAAGGCTGGTTCCGCTGTAAGGGGATCTGGATCTTCAAGAAATATGAGAAGACTTCGAAAAGGAATGGCTCCCACTGAGGTCTCTCTCTCTCTCTTTCTATATATATATATAGGTCCTGTTTGGAAAAATGGCTGTTAGCTGATAGCTGTTAGCTTATCTCGACTAATGATTGTGGTTGTGTCTATGAAGGAGGTGGAGGCCAACATGCTTGGCTCTCGTAGAGGCAATGGTAGCGGTTCTAGAGGCGCCACTGTGGCACGGATGTCACTGAAATCATCTTATGATACCGTGTCGGAGGCAGCCTCCCAGACTGCAACCGAGGTGTCTCAAGGGGACAGCATTTGCTCGGTCCCCGCACAAATGATCTCATCGAGCAGTTATGGATGGCCAAAGAAGCACGAACGCGCAGCCGCAAGATTCCATGCTTTCGCCAATTCGAGAAGCATAACAATGAACGGTGGTGTAGAACCCCCCACGTTGCAGCAGTCCAAAGACGACCCATTGGGCTTAGATGAGCAAGACGGTGGCTTGGCTATTCGGCCGAAGAGTATGAAGCAGGTGGAGCAACCTTTGTCGTTCCACTCGCCAGATATATATCACTTCTCAAAGGAGTTATCAGTGGTTAGCGTTCTTCCCCTTTTCCTACCCCCCGGGGCGGGGGGCCTTTCTTCATTCCGCTATATTGATGTTTTAATACCTTGTATGCAGGAGGAACAACCACCGCCTTTTCTGTCACCCGATTTATATCATTCACGCGAGCAATCAGTAGTTAACTTTCTTCCTTTACCTATACACACTATTAGAAATTCTTGAAAAATTATCAATGACAGTGCTTTATTTGGATCTGATTATATCGGAATGAATCAGGACTCTGATGGGCGGGCGTTCTCAGGACCATTAACATACCGGGGACATAAAAGGCAGGATGGCCAGGCAGCTCAATCAGTTCGAAGATCACGTTTCTGCAGAGGTAAACGAAAACAATAATTCGGAATGAACTTTATTCTGCTGTGCTTAGCTTCAAAGTTCAACCCCACTGTTTCTCCAAAATAAAATCTCCCTTCCATTTTGGCAGATGTTTAACTTGAATAGGCGCCTTTATCTGGACCTCAAAGTCGTCGAAATTTGATGTTAATAACGAGGGCCATTGTCTGTTTATTTTTCGATCTGCACCAACCTTCTTCGACATTACAGGACAGCAGAAAAGAGAGGTGAGACCATAAAAGCTCGATTCACAACTTCTTAGCCCCGAGTGCCATGCGTAGATTCGTTCATGTCTCTGATACTGCAGGCTTCTTCACAACTAATCTCGCTTTTTTACTTAATAATTTTTTGTATTTACTTTTCGACATCGAGGCCTTCTTGCATTGTATTGTTCAATATGTGTATGTGTGTCACCTTTTTTCATTGTTTTTGGCTGGGATTTTTCCAAGGCTTATAACAGTGTTGCTAGGGGATGATTTTTGTCATCTTTGTAACATCCCCTTTGCAGCAGAAATTGAACAATATTTATGGCGTCGTGAGAATATTTGTTATTATACAAAGAATTGATGGATTTATAAAGGATACCTTTTTAGTCTTCTTGTTCAAGACAACATTGTACCAATCAAATGTGCCCTTCAATATGTAGATCAGAGATGCAGATTCTGTAATTGCACGGATACCCTCAAAGAGTGAAAGTTTTCGGACATTTTTCTTATTTGTTTATTCCTTTTTGTATTACTAGTAAATAAATTGCGGGTTCTTTAATTTCATATACGACTTTCTTTATTTCTTGAAAATTTTTACTATTATCTTGCTCCCATCAATCTTTTCCCACCTTTTCCGCTAGACACGGGATATAGGATTAATACTTTTTGTACCTTAAATGTCACATGTTTGATTATTATCAACACATTTTTGGTCAAGTCTGTCACACAGTCATTTTAGTGTAATTTATCTTTTATGTATAGTTTGTAAACTATTACACAAAAACGAGATTTATCTAATGCACAACTATTAAATAATGACATTAAATTTTTTTATTACCAAAAAAAAAAAAAAAAAAAAAGACACAACCAATTGTGTAATGTAATCAATAGTAGTGTGCACAAAGTCAAGATAGGATGACTTCTTGGATTGCACTCAACAAAATGCTTGCCTTGGGATTTCTATGGTAAAACTACTAGTATTTTTAAGTTAAACCAAGCTCAAAGAGGTTTCACTATTATGTTGTGAAAACACACACACACACGTGTGTGTGTGGTGGACTTGCTTACAGCAACCCAATTTAGGTTTTTTTTTTTGCAGTTTTAATGCATATGTAGGAGAGAATGTGAAAAAAATTATTGTAAGTGTAGGTTTTTTGTAAAATTCATTGTCCTACGAAAAAACAGGCTGCTTCGCTTCTTTCACGCGTGAAGCATACCTAGCGCGCCTATTGGGCACGTAAGGTGCTATTTTTTGTTTTGTTTTGTTGAGGAACTGATTTTTTTTTAAATTACAAAACAATTTGAAAATGATTTTGAAAACTTTTAATTTTTTTTTTATAAAAAAACATAGAAATATTTGTTGACGAGTTCCAAGAGAATTTAAAATATAGAATGTTTCCAAAAAGAATTGTAAGTTGACGAGTTTCGAAGAATTTTAAATGTAGAATCATTTTCAAACTGAGGAAACACTTATTTCTAAAGTTTATGTGCATCATAGTGAGCAAGTTGTTCCTCTCAAAGGTAAACTATGTAAAATAGTTTGTAATTGAAAGAAACATAAACATCAATGTAATCACAAAATGAAAACTATAACAAAGTTTTTTGAAAACAGAGGAAGGGTGAAACCCCGGGGAACAAACAAAACTAGTCACCGCGGATAAAAGGAACTCCTAGACAATCTTTACGGATATACTCCGCGAGTTCGTCATTGGGGCAAAAAAAACAAGATGGCCAACTCGTTGTCCGGAGCATAATTCTTTGCAATCCAATCCGCCGGTTGGTTTTGTTCCCGCAAAATGTGGCAGCATTTGACATTCCAGTTCTTCATGATCCACGCCTTACACTCAGTAATAACATTACACAGGGTTCCACCACCTTTGGTGTCAAAAAGAGGGTCATTAATATACTTGACCACGTTGACAGAATCACTCTGGATCACGATGTTAGAGAAGGTCAAACTCCACGCGACTTTGAGCCCGGCAAGGACGGCACGGACTTCCGCAACTTCGGCCGAGCACCATCCTAAATCCTGCTGGAAACTATAACAAAGTTGGAGCACATCAGTTGTAGTATTTGAAAACAGACATTGCATTCATGCTATAAACAGATCTACATCATTTGGTTTCAACTATCAAGACAAGGAAAAGTTGTCCAAAAGGAGTAAACGATTGGGTGGAGCATGATTATTATACTAGAAAGTTACGAGTTTGGTATTTGCTATCCTCCCTCTTGATCGAGCTCGTTGCGCAGAGTCTTTTTGATCTTTTAGTTATTTTAATGTTTGGATAGGTTAATGAAGAAATCTTGCGATGTTGATTTGAATTTATTTTCATATACTATTCCAATGAACTTATTTTTGGAAAGGAATGAACTTATTAGAACAAGCTAAAAAACAACAAAAAATAAAATAAAAATAAAAATATTAAATTCCTAGAGTGGATGCTATTGACACTCCCGATGAGCTGTTCGATAATTCATTGGGTTTGTCCTCCTCTTTCGAGTATGCGTCTCATATCGACTACTAATAAGAATCTGGACTAATTGATAAAGATGTATTTGCGGACCGGACCGTTAACTTTTCCTAAAGATGCTACTCTGAGTCTGAGAAAGAGTTATCCCCATGCCTCATGAGTGTTGGGATTTGGCCTCCATCAATGAAGTCAATCTTGTTTAATCTGATGCAGCAAAGAACTTTCTCTGGCAACTCTTCTGGTTTTTGTGCCTGTTGATCCATAAAAATGGTTTACTTGTAATATAAAGAAAGAAAAACAACAAGAATCTGACATGTCTGAAGAAAACTGAAGGCCTTACTAACATGATTCACTCAACAAAAACATCAAAAAAAACAAAAAAAAGATAAGAAGGTATAGCAAAACCTGAATTGTTAAACCAAGGTCCAGGATTCCCTCTCGTAACCGTTCCCTGAAAGCATCAAGACCCTTTCTTGCTATATAGCTGAAGCGATGAATGTCAAGATCAATCTCAAAGTAATTCGGCCCCTGCAGGGAGGCGAAAATGAGTGTCTAAGAATTGAGAAAGATCACATTCAAGAATCCATTATATCCCTGTTGGGTATTCAATGATGTAAAGAGATGGATTCCAAGAATGCCTGTTGGGGTTCCTTGCCCACGAAAGGCGGCCCCACGTGATATTAGATGGGTAAATCACAGTGACTCAGTGGGACCAGTAGCCCACCACAATGGGTGTAACTCTCAAACATTGCGACTACCAAGACTCGGTCTTGTGTCCTTAGCCACAGTATACCACCCAGGAACCAACTGAACTGTTCGTGACAGCAAAAGTGTGTTTGAGATGTTTTTTTAAGGTAAAATTACATGAATGAAAGAAACAAAAAATTGTGTCAATTCTTGCCTGATAAAAGCTGTGTTGTGGCCTGGAAAGCACTGGTTTTTCATTGTATGCATTCAAAAGTTTCCGTTCAGTTGAATTTGATACAAGATCTTCTGGATTAACCACTCCAACCATAATTTTCAGCCTTTCTCTGAAAGGAACCATGGATTCTTTAGCAAATCCTTTGACCTTTTCCATGTCATCTTCAACTAGTCTCTGTAGCATAAACCAGGATCAGACTTCTGTCTCTCTCTTCACAGAACAATGCAGTTCATCGAACAGCTTTAAACCACGTAATTACCTTAATGCTATCCTGAAACTGGGGCGAGATGTCGTTCTCAAAACTTTCAGAAAGTCTGAAATACAATACAAGGCTCAGACCCTCCCCGTCAGCATCCCCGAGGAACATTGGAGCAGGATATGTAGGCAGCTGGAAGAAATTGTAGTAAAAACGCGGGTTATGGGATGAATTTGCATTACATGAAGCAGCATCCCGTTCAACAAAAGCTTGCGTTTTGGAGTGAGGATCGGAGGATAAACATACCTGAATGTTAACTATTAGTAACGGAGGAATTTTCCTATCTGCTTTTATAGAAGGAAGCTCAAGATGTTGTGCAATGTGATTGATCTTTCTTGGGCACACAAATAAATCAAGTCCGATGGGAGTGTAAGGACAGGTATTTGGAGCCGGGGATTTCTTCTTGTCTCTGCAGATTGAATGGACTACATGTCAATGTATTGCAAAACACGGGTTGCCACACGCCATCAATCTGCAGAGCCCTCGATAAACTGAAACTACGAGCATACCTGAAATAGCTGCTGCTGCGAAGCGTAAAATTTGAGGGCTCGATAGCAGACCAAGTTCCTGAAGTTGGTTTTTCTTCTTTGCAACGAGGAATTATAAGTCCTGCTCTGGGGCGGAAAAGATGCATTTTTGATGCACCTGCAGGACTTCCACTGTTTGTTGAGCATATAATATAATATAAACATAAATGTGTAATCCAACTATCAGCTTAGGCTTTTAGTTGAGATGGACTGCTTCAATTTGGTATCCGAGTCAGACCAAAGGCTCCAAAAGTATCGGCCCCCACACGTGAGGGGGCGTGTATCAGCTTAGGCTTTTAGTTGAGATGGAGCACATGCTTCAATTATGTTCACTCAGGGTAAAACAGAAGGTGATTTTTTTGCCAACCAGACATTTTGGCACTGTTTAGCTGAACACTTTAGACAAAAAACAGCAAGATGAGGATGAAGGTTTAAAGGGCGAGATACTTACAATATTCATCGGTTTCCACTTCATCAATGGATGTCCTCGTGACAGATAGCCTGATGATAGTTGATTGCCTTCTTTGAGAGTGAAGGCCTGGACTCGATACACTAATGATCTTGTCGTTGAAACTTAAAGAATTTACCAACTTAGGTAAGACAGACTTCAAGACATTCCCTTGGGTTTTCTCATGACCCGAGACAATGTCTCGTATGTCACACTTTATACTGTTAAAACCTTCATGAACACTACTAAAGTCATCGTCTGAATCCGACTCCAAAACACTAACTGTATCAAACCACGCTTCTTCCTGGCAAATTACTGGAAGCGAGTAAATCTCGTATTAGGTTCGAGTTCTAAAGTTCTGTGGAATTGAAAAAGTATGCTAAACAATTGTAAAAAACGTCAGAATTCAGCATAGAAGAAAGGGCATACCGGTAGCGTCTATTTGGCTATGGTGCCATTGCAACTGAGAAAGATGCAACGCGGGATTAGAAACCTCTTGTCTATTCCTTTTCTTGGTTTCTCCCGGAACAGAACTTGGAACCTTTCGACAAAACCTTTTGGGGCGACGATGGCATTTCCTCCTCACTCGAGTCCTCGGGGATGATGTTGATACACAGGCACCCATTATGCTGTCCACATACAACTATACAAGAATCCAACTTTGCCAGCTATCCAAGAAATTGCAAGATATTCAGCTGAGACCATTAAAGAACAGCCATTCAGAAATTTATGTAATTAGACTAAGCAATACTTATAATCACATAACTGCAAGCATTGTTCTATGAAGTTAATTAGCTCTTGACTCCTGGATTTACCTTAACAAACCACAAATGTTTCAAGTACAGAACTGCTGGTTACAGGTAATTCAACTAAGAAAACGGTTAACAGATTCTGAATTCATAAGGCGTGAAAACTGAAAAGGTTTGAGCATTATCAACTTCAGCTAGCTCATAATAAGGCCATGACAGTACAACAAGACTCGTACGAAAAGAAAAACGCAATCCTCATCTAAAAAGCAACGAAACTCATAAAGAAACACTCAAAAAGAACCATACTTTATATTATACACAGAATATGAGGATTCCATGGATAAACAGGTGTACAGATACATGGAACACTGCTCTGCACTTCCATGTGCAGATAACAAAAGGCAAAAAAACAGACACAGATCACAAAAAGGCTAAACAAATGTGGTTGGCTCTTTTCCTTTGTCTCTCCTTTTTAACCTTTATGAAACATGTCTAATTATTTAGTAAGAAAAGGCAGTGGCATGAACATAACCTTGGTGGAATCACTTTCCAAGTCTGAATACGAATAAAAAGACGCTAAATGAGAAACAAAAAAGTTCGAGCAGGAAAAAATGGCTCCATTCGAAGTGGACAAAGTACAAAAAGATTAACAAGTACAGTTCACTGGTGGTTTAAATCATTCACAGCATATATATACAAACAAGCAGAAGATTACCAAACTATTGTGATTTGCACAGAGAAGAGCTGCATAAGCAAACAAGATGCAATGAAAACCACACCATTAAAATGCAGATCGAGCTGAAACCAATAATATAATACCAAGCAACAAAGATCAGAACCAGAAATCATTAGTGAAAGAGACTACTCAATAAAAGAACAGAAGAGGCCGGATCAAGACACTACCAAGGATGATATTTTTGAGGGCAATACTAAAATAAATCAAGAAAAACAAAGGAATATAATGAATGGCACAGTGGGTGGGCTCTGATTCTGCAGAACTTAAATAAAGCCAGCAACTTTATTGAAATCCCACGCATTAAATCAATATTAAACCCCAAATTTTCACATAAAAAGGAATGAACAGATTCAAAATTGTAAGAGAGGCAGGCTCTGTCCGCTCTGATGCATTCACCTTTTTGTTCTGAAGATAATGTAGATAAAATAAAGGTTCTCCCTCTCCCTGGAAAGAGGATGATATCAAGAACACCAGAGAGGGAGAAAGCGGATAATCCAAGGAACAATCACAAAATCACAAACAATCTCCTGCTACATTACGAACTGAAAAAAAAAAAAAAAAAAAATTAATAGAAACGAGGATGAAGGAAAAGGAGATCGAGCAACGTCGTCGAGGTCTGGTTTTCCGGGAATGGAGATTTGACGTTGTTGGATTAAAGAAAACATGCACAATATTGTCGCATTGCAACTAATGAATGTAGCAAGGTTAAGTTGTCTGTCCAGCCATTTGTGGTCGCCCATTTTTCCACTGTCGTCCATGGTTTTATGGTTAGTTAGTTGTCACGCTACGTACTCTTCCGCCAATTCGGATCTTCTTTTCCAAGAAAATCCTATTTTCGGATCAATTACTCCATTCTTGCATGATGCGTGGTTAAAAAGCTTAGGATCCAAATAAGATATGAACACACGGTGACGGAATTATTATTATTTTTTGGAATAAGGGTCAAATAGGCCATCGAACTGCACACAATAAAACAATTAGACCACTGAACTTAAAAAACAAACAATTGGGTCCCTAAACTAATCAATTTCAAACAATTCTTTCAATTTGAAGGTTTCCAACAGGTCAACAGGTCATCCTTCCAAATTAATTATTTTTTAAAATTTAAATTTTAAAAATTAATTATTTAAATTAAAAAAAAAAAAAAAAAAAAAAAAAAAAAAACTGGTTCCAGCCGGAGACAAGATTCCAGTTTTTTTTTTTTTTTTTAATATTTATATTTAATTTATAAATAATTAATTTTTAAAATTTATTTTTTTTTTAAAAATAATTAATTTGGGAGATGACCTGTTGACCTGTTGGAAACTTTCAAATTGAAAGAATTGTTTGAAATTGATTAGTTTAGGGACCTAATTGTTGGTTTTTTAAGTTCAATGGCCTAATTGTTTTATCGTGTGCAGTTCGATGGCCTATTTGACCCTTATTCCTTATTTTTTTTTATAATTTATATTTAAAGTAAGCAAACAAGTTACATTGAACATGAGATATTTTAACTGATTGATTTGATAGTCGCCCTAATAATGATAGTGAATAAAGTATACTTAGGTACACCCAACTTTAATTGAGAAGGATTTGAGTTTTAAAAGTATTATTTGAGTAGGTTGCATTCTGATTTGACCTCTTATTTGAGATAACTAGTTATATAGCTTGATCATAATGTCTACTTATATTTAAGTGTGTTTAATTAACATTGTTAGAAATTTTGTGTTTTTAATCACCTTAAATATTCAATAAAAATTTAAAAAATTGAATCTCACGGGAAACATGAATGGAGAAAAAGCCTATAACAATAAAATATGTGAATTGGATTTATCGTGCGTGCATTAAAATTAAGGTATGACTGATGGACTGATTATATAACTTGCGATTACCTCTAAACGGAACTGTGGGTGTAAAATTAATTCAGTGAAAGCTGTTATCACCAAAATATATATTTAAAATAAAAATAAAAAATAAAAAACTTTTCTAACTTTGCAAACTACTATTGGTGGTGACGAGAAGGGAATGAAACAAATGAGAATTTTGTAAATATCTTATGGTTTTGTCAAATTTCGATAGTTTCATGGATATCTCTGCTTGCAATTTTTTATTTATTTATTTATTTATTTGGATTTGGGCAAAAACATATTTGTCATGGTTGCCAAAAAAGTTAAAGGAACACACCATTGACCTAACTGATCAAGTTTTCTAATGATTTAAAATTTATTCATATTGTTGTATATCTAGTATTTTTTAGTTTTTTTTTTTTTTTTTTTTTTTTTTAATGACCGGGCAAAACTCACATCATTACCCAAGAATGTGAACCAAGTAAATATTACTCATGCATAATAACTCGTAAATGACACATTAAAAATAAAACATATCAGGGACAGGGGCCCCCACCCCACCCCCATTTTTAGTAAATATATTATATATATGTATATATTATTATAATATGGATAAATTATAGTTTTGGCCCCTCCTAATTTTTTGAAAAAGTTATGCATTTCGTTCTTAAGTTATGGGATAATTATAGAATTCATCTTTAATTGTTGGTCGTGTTCACTTTTCGTCCCTAAGCTATAATTAACATCACAAATTTTGTCCTTTTAATAATAGATTGTGCTTACTTTTAGTCTCAGAGTTATACTAACGTTGTAAATTTTGTCTCAAATATTTTGTTAGTAAATAGACAAAATTTGCAACATCATTTACGGAGTATATTTTAAAGACGATAAGTGAGTACGACTAATAATTAGAGATGAATTTTACAATTTCCCTATAACTTAATTATGGACAAGAATTGCAATTTTCCATATTTTTTAGTATTGTATATATTTTGTGTTATATGAAAAATTCAAAAGTAATATTTGACAACATTAGCGATCTTACTCATATAATTATATATTTCATATATTATTGCACCTAGTATAATTAATAATTATCAATAATAATCGACACAATCATATATGGTGTATATATATAATGATATTGTATAGTTGGTACTAATATCGACTAATATATAAATTTCTTCTTTAAATTTGGCCTCCTCAACCCAAATTTTCTGACTCCGCCCCTGATTAGGAATACTATATTCTAGTTCTATAAAAAAAAAAAAAAAGGAATATTTTGGAATGATCATGGGAAATTAAAGCAGATCATGTGATCCTTAATCAATGTTGTGATACCTCAAAATGCACACAGAGAGAGAAGAGATGATGAACAATAAAGTAATGCACGTTAATCATCGTTGGTTACTAGGCAATTTATATTGTAATCTTAAACTTGCGATGATGGGAAAGAGGCAAAGCTATCACATGTAATGCGTTAGTGTCTATGCAATAATTTCATAATTATTATTCAATATATTATTAAAAAATTTATAGAGTTTATTTTTTTTTTATTATATTGGAAGGGGGACACCCATACAATTTATGCCTATACTGAGGCTCAAAACCTAAACCTCCCACATAAGAGAGCAATCCGATACCAGTGGACTACAAGCCACTTGGTAATTTATAGAGTTTATAAATAGTTATTATACCACTGTCCTAAATTGTGTATTTTTAGTATTGAAATTGTAAAGTTTTATAATATAAATTGTGTTTTTAAGTTCTGGAAGTTTAATTTGTAAATAAAATACAACATCATTATAAATTATGAATTTTTAAAAAGTAAATTGTGAACACTTAATATGTAAATTGTGTATCTTTAGACGTGGTACCACCGAATAATTTGCCGTTTACAAATGAGACATGTGAGAATAATATCGTAATTGTAATCTGCTGTATATTTAATTTATTTTAAAGCACACAAGGAGGGGAGAACAAGTGCACTCTCAAAGATTATATTTGAGTGCAATGCAATAGAAAGTTGTATGTTGCGCTTGAAAAGGATGAATTCCTTGTGAGAACAAATTTATTGATTCTTTGTGAATTGGTTGGACCGTAGGTACACAATCTACTTCACATTTTGGTTAAGTTCATGATAACCCAATAATCAGTAAATATTAAAATTATTGAAACAATTCGTAATTCATAAAAGAGTTCTATTGAAATTACTAGGACAATTCATAAAATATGAGTGATTTATTTAATTATTATAAAATAAATTAAAAGAGATGTCAACATTGAAATTACTGAATTGTCTCTTTATTTAATATCAATTTGACAGAATAACAAACGGAAGACTACATTAAACAAAAATAGAAAAAAGTATTAAAATAGTATATGTAGCTTCATCGTCCCTAAATAAGGGGTCATCTTATACACATTCTCACCGGAAGTGTAACACCAATTCAACAAAAACTCTTACTAACAGTAAGTAATTTGAGAAAAAAAAAATTAAATATAAAGAGAAAAAGAGACATAAAAGACACAATATTACAGACATATTTTTTGTTTTTTAATATAATTGTCACGAATTTCTTGACTGATCGATCAATGTACTACTCATGTACACTCTACTTTAGCCATTAAAACGCACACGTAACATCATTGTACTACGCTAGTTGCTTTATTTTAATAAAAAGTCATGAAAAAGGCATGAAAAGAGAGATAAAATGGGTGTGTGAATTTAAAAGGTTGGACAGCATCCAGTTTGTAGTAAAAAATTTCCAGTTCATTGAATTAGTTCATTATTCTTTTCACAAGGTTGAATTCCAATCCTAAATGTCCCTATACCCCCCACTCGACAGAATATTTAGGAAGATATAAATCATAATAACACAATTGAATATGAATCACATAGGCTAAACATTTGTCATGAATCAGTTCATTATTATTATGGCAGCTGGAAGTTTCGTCGTGGGTTGCCCATACAGTAAGTCATGACATTCAGAATAGACAATTTACATTAAACCTTTGCAAGCCCAAGTTTCAAGAGATAAATATTTTAGGGAATATAATTTCTTTTAGATACATTTTAGGGAATATAATAGAAATTTTATTTCAATAG